CTGGGGATTCGAACCCGCCACCTTAGGTGTATGTGGCTGGCGCCTTAGCTGCTTGAGCCACAGGCGCCGAGCCTTTTTCATACCTTTTCAACAACTTTGTAATGCCTGGAGGAGCCCATCTGCCTCAAGCTATAAAATTGACTTTCCTGGTCTCACTAGTAGGTAGGGTATGAGCTATGTCACCTGAATTCTACCACTCACATCCTTTTCCAAGAAACCTCACTGTAGACAAAGAAGTAGACACTGTACTATATCCTGTTTTCCATGAAGTTGGTGGTAGACGCGTGGTGTCTAGAGGCAACAGTAACTCTAAAACAGCTTTCCTGGTGCAGACATGATGTTGGTGTTAGGCCAGTAACCGTTGCAATAAAAAAAATTCTTTGACCACATGAGTCCAGTGGGAACAGCGACAGAGTTTCCTCACCAGACCAGTTCTGCACTATGATTTTAGACTTTATTCTTAAGAATGTTAGCCTTTAATGTGACTCTCTGTTCATCCTCATTCCTTTAATAAATGTGGTTCTACTTTATGAGTCAGTTAGCTTTTGATATTTTCAAGTAAGAACCCTAAAGTAACCATATAATTTAATATTTATTTGAGTTAGTCCTTTCTTAGACGATCTTCAATAGCCTCTGTAGAATATTTTCAATTGCCCTCCCTACCATGATATATCCCTGTCCTAACTTCAACTTTTTTTTATACTCAGCTTTGTTCTTATGGCACTGTTTCTTTGAGGATAACCTTGATTACTTTCTCAGATGCATTTTTGGTACTATATTGTTCCCTATAACTGTTGCCTAGAGTAGCCTTTATCCCAGTTTTATTTCTCATTCAACTTGTTACATATATTAATATTATTAGATTTATTTATTTACTTATTAATCATGAGACCTTATTCTTTCTCTCCCAGGCATACAAACATACACATAACCCTGCCTGTACAAACAATACTTAATTATGTAATCTGTTCAGAGTGGCTAGCTATGGAAATAATTAGGCTACCTACACGTTATTCCATTCTCAGAGTCTAGAAATCTTAATTAGATCCTAGGTTTAAATAAATCATGCACAGTAGAACCTCTGTAAGTTGACCATCCAAGGTACTGAAACAAACTGGTCAGCATAGAGAGGTGGTTAACATTAGGGACCAGGCCTCCTGTACTGATGCGTACATGTAGTACATGTCCAGTCTGTGCAAATTAGGTCACCTTAAGGAGCTGGTCAACTATGGAGGGTCTACTATAGCTTTTGGTGAGTTGTTAATTCAGCAAAGGTGGTATTTGATAAAGATGTGTTGTGTTTCATTCTGGACTAAGACTAAATTGATAGATGAGCCGCAGGCCCTTAAGTTTCCAATAGATAGCAGATTCTCAAAATGTAGTGCCTGAACCAGCAACATCAACATCATTTAAGAACTTATTAAAAGTACGAATTTTCAATCCTTCTCCCAAACTTACTGAATAAAACAGCTCTGAGGGTGTGGCCCAGCAAAGTATATTCTAACAAGCACTGCAGGTACTGGTCTTGACTAGTGTTGGCAAGCTATGGCTTATGAGTCAAATCTGATATGTAACCTATTTTTGTGAGGCCTGAAATATGAAAATATTTTTTACATTTTTAAAGGGTTACTTAACAAAAACAACAAAGATAAGTATTTATATGGCTCATGTGGTAGGCAGAATTTTAAGATGCCCAGATGGCTGTCTTTTCTGGTGTTACTACTGAGATTGGTTATGTTACAATGGCAAAGGGATTTTATGGATGAGATTTTGATTA